GCAAGAGTGGTTTTGTGCGCTCTCCTTTGGGGAAGAATTGCAGAGCCCCACTGCTTTTACTGCTGGTGGGATTTGCCCGCAGGGGCCTGTAGCATGGTGCAGGAGGGTGAGGTTAGGGAGAAGCAGCCTCCACAGGCTACTTGTGCTGGCACTGTTCCTGGGTGGACAGTGTGAGCCCTGCTTCCCATGGTCCCAGGACAACGCGCTTCTGCAGGCAGCCTGCCTGCGAAGTGGCTTCCTGCAGGGCAGCTGGCATGTTGGACTCGCCTTTCCCACCTGCCGTGCTCCTGCTGCCAGGCAGCCCAGGGCTGGGACGTGGGCTCTTGTCTTCCACCATGCACCCATGAGATACACCAGGTCACACAGCTTGTGTGAAGAGTATTTTCTGAAAAGTAAAAAAATAATAGTAACCAACATCTTAACCATTCCAAATGTGTGTTTGTAAGCTGTATTTTTGAATTTCATTATTATTATAATAGTTTCTTTCTTCCATGTAGGAATTATTCAAAGTGCACGGGAGTGATAGAAATGATCATTGGTATTCAGTTCTTCAGAAGAGCTCTTTTCTGTGAAAGGTTGAAATGCACTATTGTTGATACCTTAACTCCTCTGTCATACTGTAGATCTGGATGTTAATGAACTAGATAATGTTAATATTATGGGTTAGATTAGCAAACAGATTTTTAAATAAAATTGATGCAGCCAGAAACCCTCTACATAGAAGTAGTTTCTGTCATTTTACAAAATACCCTTCATGGCTGATGAGGGATCAGTTTTAAACATTAGTAAGTATTTAATTATCTTTCCAAAATTTAGTTGTCTTTCCATTACTAATTTCCTTATTACTGTATTTCCATTACTAGCTCTAATTGCCCTCTGTTGTCTTCACTGGACTTTGATTCCTGCATGGATCATTTCTTTTATAACCTGTGCGCATGTACAAATTGCATTACTATACCAAGTAAATAAGGTTGCTTATATCCACTCCCAAAAAAGGAGCTCACTAAGTTGAATTAGTTTCCCATAAGCCAAATATTCTGGTAAATATTTCTTTGTAACTATTTTCTTCTATGTATCTTTTCTCAGAGTCAAGTAGATCAGTTTACATCTGTGACAAAGCCTCAGAGTGCACTCTAGCTAGTAGTTACAAGGGGAGAGGTTTAGCTAGCTGGAGACCCTGCTCCCAGGAATCTTCCCCTCTCTTAAGGAGTTGGCCCCTAAGTGGATTTTTAAAGATATTTATAATTGGGACAGATACACTAATAGCAAAACCAGACAAATAAGATGCACCTTTGGACATTTTTATAGAATTGCATTCTAACTGGAATGTGTTAGATTGACCATTAGTAAAACCAAAATGAGTCTGCAGTCGTCTTAACATACAGCACTTAAAAGTCAGTGTGGTAGGTTACATCCAGCAGACAGATTGGGCGCTGTGTCAGGTTCTTGGGAACAGATATTGGGAGGTCTCTGCATGTGTCTGTAAATTTGTGAGGAGTTTTCAGAAAAAAAATCTCTGGAAAGAGGTTGACATGTCTGCTGTCAGTGAAAGACAAGGAGAGAGGGAGGGGTGGATGGATGGATTAATACAGTTTGGATGGCACATTTGTATGATGTATACTTTGGGCAGGCTGTGATATTGCATTTGCATGTGTTAAATCCTCAGTTTCTGGAAGTATTTATTCCTGTTATATGATTGTGTTAGGGGATGTTGGCGCATATAAAATAACACCAACGTAAATTCTTCTCTGGTTGAACATGCATTCTGCAAGCTAAGGTCAAGCTGTTCTTATCTAGGTGGATCGTTGTAAATATTTAGCGTTGTTAATTTAAAGATTTTTCTCTGCTTGGACACCCATTGTGCAAATTGAGGCCTGTCTGGTTGACTGCCTTGGGGAAATGAGTGCTTACTCTATGTTTCTAAGGACCACCAAGAACTTTGATATTAGAGCCTTGTGCATTGCAGCTTTTATAGATGGAAGATGGTGGAAAACTGTGGTGTCTAGTCTTTTCTGAGCTTGAGGTAAAGGGGAAAAATGGACAAAGAAGAACAGTCAGAAAGTGCTGTTTGGAGACACCTGCTTCTGTACATATCTACCAGGAATGGGGTGAATTTGTGGCTCTGCTTACCCTCAGATGCATGACTGCGTGCTGCTTTTGTGCATAGTTTTCATCTCTCCTTAGTAACCTTTACTTAGGGCAGAATACTGCAGTTTGGTCTCTGAAAATGCTACGTAAAGTTTACTGTCTGGAGTATGTCTGTCTCAGTATACTGATGCTGTCTGGCTGGTCGATGCACATGAGGTGGTGCTGACACATGTCAAGAGCTGTGTTTGCTCTCTGCCCTTCCCTGTGCAAGCTCCATCACCTGCGTGTACAGAGCACCTCATGTGCTGCACGGGCACTAGCTGCTGTCTAGCACATAGGTAGCAGATCAAACGCACTTTCCACCTGGAGGGCTTTTGTGAGCAGTGTAACCTGCGCAGACCTGTATGTGATGTGGAAATGTGGGATGCTACACAGGTGTTTCTGAATGTCTCAGCCTGATTGCGTGTTGTCCGCCATAGCATCCTCCTTGTTTTTCCATACTGTAATACAAACTCCTCTGTTCAGCATTAGAAGCCTTCTTCACTTGTTCTGTTCACAGAATAACTAATTCAGCATCAGGGGTGACTTTCCAAGAGTATAACAATGGTCGTGGTGGGGGAAGACATCTCAAAAGGCAAGAGTTATGCTCAACCAAAGTTTTAAGCCCTTTTTTTGAGTGAAGGCTCATGAATTCGTCTGCATCTTCCTTGTAAGAGGTAGAGTCTGTGGACTAAATTACTTCCAGGAGAACGGTTTCGTGATGGCTGCTTGAACTAAAAGAGGCGATGTGTTTTTTTGTTTTAAATAAAAAGAGGTTTTGTTACCTACACTGCTTTTCTTTCAAGAGATGGACTAGCATCCCACTGAGGCAGACATTTCTACACATCTTGCTTTGTCTTTAGATTCAGTTGACATCAGTCATGGATCTGATTTGGCCCATGGTAGTGTGTACAATAGAAAAGAGAAAATTAAAAAATAGCCAACTAGAAAAACCTCACTAGAGCTAAAAAGCAATGAGCACTGCAGATGATAAGAATTTCTGGTAACTACATATATAGTAATGTGAATGTTAAAATGTAGTTCTGCATGTACTATTTTTAAAAGAAAGATTTCTTTTTGATCAGAAAAATACAATTAAATCAGATCTCTCCTGAATGTTCTGGCTGTCATTTTCTTTAGCCAGAAGAAAACCTGCCTTTCTGGTTTATGAAGCCACAGTGCTAACATGTAAAGCAAGATGTTATGACTCATTAGACCAATTCTTTGTTCTCTCTTGAAAGCATTGCTGATGATATTTTCAAATATACTCGGGTTTAACCCTAAGAACACAAGCTTCTAGCAAGTCTGATCTTAATGCAAAGCAGATTATGTAATTTTTGCAATGCCATGTGATGTGAATGTAAACCTGTAAGTTCTTTGATAGTTTTAGTTTGCAGTTTTGCTGAATTTTGCTGTAATTTTATCAGGGAAAATAAGATGGCTTTTCTGAGTTTGCAAAATTCTTCAAACGCAGTAAAATGTATTTCAGGACTGAGAAGTAGCCACTTACGGATTCATTAGCAAAACTACTTTCTTAACTCCACTTGAAGAGGCAGTTTAATTGCATGAAACCCTGAAATCATGTGGCTTAATATGAGAAATTTAATTGAAAATGAAGTTGCAGTGGTTTCAGCAAGGGTCAGTGTTTCACCTGAAGAGTGCTCCTTAGTGCTGGGAAAATACGAGGTTAAGGAAGGTGAGGTTAGAAGGGTGTGGGGATACCTGCTGGCTCTCATCCTGGCAGTTCACTTGCGAAGCACTGCCTTCTGTATGTGCAGGCATTGGTGAAAGATGTGAAAAGGATTGCGAGGAAGGCTATGGAGACTACGGCACACAGTGTGTTTTGGCTGAGGATAACCGAAGTGTTGAGCATCTTGCTGCTGTAGAGGTGGAGAACCCCTAGCCATTGTAAGTTGGATGGTTTTGCTCAGCATTTCGCCACAGCTGGACTGCCTGTTTCTGCAGGACCTCCAACGACGGAAGTGTTAACTGAGCTGTGTCAAGAGAATAAATTAACAGGCATTTATGTTTTTTCTCAGCCTAGCAATATAAGTAAAAAACAGTTAAAAAGCTTTTTTACGCATTGTTGCTGTTTATCTCTGAAGGGAAGGAGAGGGTGTCTTTAATTTCAGCCAAACCAAGTGTGAAATGTGTATGTTTCTTGGGGATAACACAGCAGCTTTAGCCTCCACAGGAGGAAAGCTGTCCCAAAGACTTTTTATGTAGAACCCATTGCAGTCCTCAGCTGACTGAAGAAGACTTCCAGTCAAGAAGACTCGCTGAATCCTAAACTGGTGCAGAGTTATGTAAACTCCTATAAGGCTTAAGCTTCTTTGTTATGTTAGTATCTTTGATTACTCCCAGGAGCATGTATTATTATTGTAAGACACCTGAATGGAATATTGACAGTCATCTTTGCCACTAGATCGCTATTTCTTAGTTATGCTAATAAAACTGACTGATACTGTGGATAACATTACTGGCCAGACAAAGAATGGAAAGCTCATTGAAAGCAAACAGCTTTGAGCTTAGTGATCACAGAAGCTCAGCATGCCTTCGGTGGGCACCACTTCGTGTTCCCTGTAAGCCATGGTGCAGGCAGCCCTTTTTATGCCTTCTGCAAGTGTTTACTGACCACCCTTTGGTTAACTGTGTCAAAACCCTGTGGTTCTGAGCAGCTGATGGTGGAGATCCTTCTGTCTATAATATTCTTTCAACATTTAGTACCTAGTTGGAAATGTCACCATCATTTATCTGGACAGGTCATATGGAGTCAGAGCTGCTTGTTTATTTTAAGCTTTTCCTGTGTCTGTTTCTAGAGAGGCCTGTTCAATCCTAGATTCCCAAGCCATTGTTGTGCTGTTTAAACGATAATGGAAACAGTTCCAATGGTGAAGGTAATTTGCCTCATATGTTGTATGAATGATGAGATAACTATATAGTTTTTAGTAGGACATCTGCTTCTTTTGAGTAACAACTGATTTAAAGATAAAATGAGGCAGGACAATTACTGTTTCAGTCTTGAATCCCTGCTGTCTAATAATTTAACCTGTGTTTTTAAAAAAAATTTTAAGGTGTGTTTTATTTTGTTTCTGTCTTTTTGCTGTAGTGCTCCTGGTAGTCACTATATAGTAGGAGGGGCTGATCCTTGTCTTGCATTGTTCTTACAACTGAAGTTCAGTTTCTTATTGAGGAATCTGATGATGAAATCACTGTATTGCTCTGCTTTATCGAAAATGCTAAAATGAGATTTAGTGAATTTCTGCTTACCTTAATCATGTTTTCCCCCAAATTATTTTCTGTTGTGGCTAATCATTAAGTCTCACTGTACGTGCTGAGAGAATACATAATTGCAGTTGCTTAGTGTGAACAAACCAGTATGATGGCTTTAGACTGTTACACACTGAGAACCTTTCAAGAACATCTCCTGGTTTAAGGAAATATGTAGTAAATCTGGTGAATGGCATGCATACACATTTTCCAGCCTACCAGAGATGTTTACCTCGTCATGACTTGCTTAGAGTGTGAGTGGCCATCTTAAATTGCTGTTTTGGCCTTGTGTGTGTGACCAGGTACAAATCCTGACCAAATGCACCTGCTGAAAAAGCATGGATGCATCATCACTGTTGTTATATGATTGATATTCCACCAGTAAAGCTAAATTAAATTAATTTTTAATCAATATTCTTTACCATTTTAGTTTTGAAATCAATTGTTTATAGGCTGAAAAGTGAAATAGCACAAACAATATCCCACAGCTTCTTCTTCCTGTTTCTTTTCTCTCTGGTGATTTTACCACAATCTAGCAGTTAATACAATATGAAGCAGTTAACTAAAACCTAATTATGTGTTGTGTCTGTATTTTTTTGTGGAATTTAGGTCCGTAATAGTCGAAGGCTCTAACTGATTCTGAGGGGGGATCATTCTGTGTAATTATTCTCAGTCTTCCTATTCTGTTTATTGTTGGCTGCCAGGCGAACCAACAAATACGAGGCTTTCAGGTGGAAGTGAGGTTGTTATAACATTCTCAACAGTGCAATGTTGTTTGCAGTATTGTCCCCAGCATTGTTTGCAAATACTGGTATAGACCCTTAATGAAGTACTATTCAAGAAAACAATGGTATTATTTTAATTCAGCATGTTGGATTGCTCCCACTTCTACTATCAAAAATATTTTAAAAGAGAACAAGTAAAACCTAACCCTCTTTAGAAAGGATAGTGACAGAGCAGCTAATGGTGTAGAATTTGGATCTTAAGGGCAAGGTTTTGCTGCCTGCTCTTTGTTGTCAGAGTTTGAGTGACAAGCCTGTACTAGAAGGAAGAGCATGATTTTAGAATTAAAATATGTCATGGGGATTAACATTTTGATCAGAGAACAGAAATTTTCTAGGAGAATGCTAGGTTCACCAGCATCGTGCTTATACTAGTACACTTGCGTGGTTTTTTGGTTTGTTTTGTATTTTGTAACTAACCTGCCAGATACCTAATAGTATTTACAGAATGATTGATTAAAAATGTATGAGGACAAGATATTTTCTTCTGTACAGCTGGAATTTTTGTTAAAGGCACTGGGAACTGCCTCTTTACTTTTTTAGACAAAGCTAACTGAATGCATGAATGCCACTGCACATAGCTGACAAAGGCAGAGCATCACTGTGAAAAGGCTCTGTAAATTCTTTCCCACAGAAGTCAACGAAAGGGTCCGTTGTCCTGGGCTACGTATTTCGTCACTTAAACCTAGTGGAGATAGATTACTTTGGACTGCGCTACTGTGACCGAAGTCATCAAACGGTGAGTAAAAGGCACAGCAGATTGGATTTTCGGTATCTAAAATGTACCCTGTTTGTGCTGTTTGCCTGTAGAGTGTTAGATTGTCATACTTTCATTAACTTGCATTATTTCCTGGCTCAGGTTTCCAGTAATAATTTCTTTATGTGTGTTTGCATTAAAGTCTTGGAATAGCCATTAAAATCGTGGATAGGAACAGTATCAAATGCTAAATGTTGTTGAAAACTAAATGAAGAAAGTATAAATAGTACAAAATTAAGTTATGAAAGTAGGATTAATAATTTTTCCCTTTTACTACTGTACCCTGAAAACCAGTGCTTGGTGCACTATGCTGTTTGGCTTCGCTTGGCCCTGCGGTATCTGGGAAGCAGTGTCCCTCAGCATGTCACAGGCTGCTTCATTTGGCCCACTTGCTGAATGCCTGTTTCAGAGAATATCATACAGTTGGTGTGGTGGCTGCGTGTTCACTGGTAGCCCCAAGAGTCAAGGGGTTGGCAGTGACATTTTCACTCTGCCTGAACTGTCTCTGTGTCCTTGAGCCCATGCTCTCTTGAGCCTTCTTGACAGGGACTCACCAAACGTCTTGAGAGCTTTTTCCACCAGGAGATTACAGTACTATTCAAGAAAATTGAAACCAGGCTGAGATGTTTCAGCCAAAGCGGGCAATGGCCTGGGGTGGCGCTGCCTGGAGTGGACCCCCAAAATGGCCTGTGCAGGGTTACTGCTGTCAGGGTGAGGAGCAGGGAATGCTCAGCAGGTGGTACCGGTGCTGTATTCATAGAGTGGTCTTCATAACCTTAATTTTATAAAGGGAATAATGCCTGGCCTGTGGTTAAATTAAGCAGTTATGCTTTTAAAGTCAGTGTTCTGTGCTGAGAGTACTTCACAAGACCCTGACCTCAAGAGATATCATATTTTATCTAAAAAATAATAATAAGTTATTGAGGTGGCTAAATATTCGCCAAGTTCCGCTGTTTAGCAGAAGTTGAACATGTAGAGACTGAAGTCAGAACGATATTAGCAGATTATTGATTGCTGCTGAGAGCCACAGACTGCCCTACTCAGTGCATCTTTATTTCTGTGCCAGTCTAGACTTTTATGAATTCAGTTCCTTGATAAACTTCTAACCGTTTCATTCTGTGGAGGTTAAAGCCAGATTCATCTGTGAACTAAGAGTAGACTGTTAAAAACAGTATTTTTGATTTCCTGAGGAAATTGAGGTGTGAATAAAGAGCAGGTAGGGTTTTTTTTTTCTCTCAAAAGTGTTTCCCTTTTTCCTCTAGAGAAAAATAAAATAGAAATAGCTATTACTGGGAACATTTCCAGAGGCTACACACAGCGTATTTAATGGTGTAAATGGCATTATGAAGATAAAAGCAGATTACATCTCTTCTGTGAAAGGCTTAACAAGGAAAGGCATGTTTTAGGACGCATACTGCTAACAGACTAGATGATTTGATTGTAGGATAATAGTGCATATTGTATTATGGTAGTGTGCATGAGCTGTAGGCCATAACCTCATTAACTCAGCATCTCCAAATGCAGCCTTTTTGTCTTTTTCCCTCACATGATGCTGTAGTGGTGTAAATTTATGTTAACCTTTTTTTTTTATTCCTGGGCCAGCCCAAGGTCGGGAAGCCACCATGCTTCTGATTTTCCCATGGGTTATGAAGGTGTTCATCCCACTTCCCTCATTTGCCTGCTCTTGCACTGACACCGGTCGTTCGTGGGGATACCGTTTGCACTAGCACGACATGGAGCTCCAGCCTCTCTCTGCATGGAGGTCTACTGCCCTGTGTTTTGCCTGGCTTCTGTGCTGGTGGCTGGGCATCTCTGCTGCCTGCTGTGGTCCAGTCCCCTGACGGAGCACTATGTGTCTGCCCCTGCCTGTGGGTTTTCTTGACAGGGAAATCCCAGGTGTGCGGGAGACCGGTGCACACATCGGCTCTGTTCTGACATGCAGCTAGGAAGCAACCAGGAGGTACAACCAGGGATCACAATGGTGGGACATGTTGCAGAGTGCACCTGCCCTGCCATGTAGGTGCTGCCACAGTGACCAACTGAGTTTGTGCTGCAGGCTTTGCACCTGGGCTGTGTTGTAGCAAAATACTGTGAAAATGCCTGTGCCTGCTGTATGTCTCTCTATGTTCATAAATGAGTAAAACCTGTGCTACTGTGTTAAGTTTTACGTGTTTTCTGACAATTGTTGCTAGCTTGCTGTTTTTAGTGAAATCTTGTAAGTTGTTAAGAATGGCTAGTGTACAGGGAAAGCTTCCATGCAACAAACAACACCTTGTGCTTTAGCTGTAAGTGTATATTCAGTTGCACACGGAATGTGGGTAAAAGTCTCTGGGCTGTTGTGGGAATTAGTCCTGTAATGGCTGGCAAGAAGCCTAGACTTGAATTTTTGATTGGCTATGTTTTGGATCGGTCACAGTAGATTTCCTAAGGGAAGGAGGAAAACGTTACTTTGCTAATTAGTTTTAAACCATGCTCCTGAGTTAGCCTTAGACAGAGCAACGTGTTTGGAAGTTTGGCTATCCATTAATACGTTGCCCATGGTGGGGAATATTTTATTATTTGCTCTGTCAGGGTTTTTTTGTCACACTATGTATTTAACTGACTGATGAATAAAGCAGGGTGGACAAAACTACGTTTTTTAAAGAACTCAACCCCATCGCAAAAGAAACATTTTTTTTATTAAGGTTTGAAAGAACTTGTTTAGTTATTTTCCTCATTACTTTTACATGCCTCAACACTTCCAGGTGGTCTTTTAAGTGCTGTGTTGTTGTGCTAACTCTAATGTGAGTGGTATCATAATTTTTTTAGTAGTATTAATAGGGCTCTAATCAGTGAACAAGGTTTCACTGTGCTATGTAGTATATGAATGCATAACATTAAAATGGTCTCTTCCTGAACAGCTAACAAACTAGGCAGCGTGTGAGAGAGAATAGCTGGATGCAGCAAACAGATTGTCAGAACTGGATGGCGCTGGGAAGACCATGAACAGTAGGATAAAGCATAAATTGGATGACACTGTCTCTAGGGTAATAGTTCGGTCGTATTACACAGATTTAGCTTTATTGACATTCCAGGCTCCCCCAGACCCTTCATGATAAAAGAACAGTATTTAGTTTGCAAAATCATGGTCTGTAAGATTATGATTTGCCAGAACAACGTAAGCTATTATCTGTCTTGTGCTCCGAACAAGACAGGACCTCTAAGGAAAACCAAAACTTATCTTGTAATAATTAATTAAAATACAACATTTAATAATTAAAAATCTTGTAATGTACACTTAAATGAGCCAATGGGTTGAACTAATGCTGCAGGTTGTCAGTAGTGTTTCCTAACCTCTGAGTGCTTTGGTTCAGAAACAACGTGGTGCTTTTTAATGTAGTACAAGAGTATCTTTTTTGGTGCAAAGACTTTAAAACGAAGACCACTTTTCTTTGAGTGCTACTGAATTTCTCAGTGTGGTTCATCATCAGACCTTCACATGAGCCTTTTGAATTGCTGCAGAGATTGCTGACACTCAGGTTAAGCTGAGCCCAGATACAGTCTTTGTGCTTCTTGATGTGTATGGTCAGCTGGGTCCTGATTCACAGGACATTTTTGTACTCTGCCTCTTCTGTCAGAAATGCAGGTCATTTCTGGTATTTTTAGGTGAGACATGATAACTAGAATCCGTGTTGCAGAAGCTGAAAGTGGCTTACGAAACTCTGTCCTGCCTTCTAGTCTCTCATCGCTTTAGTATATGGGGAAAACAGCGACCCAGTGATGTACCTCTCCTTTAGTAGTGGACAGGCCAAATGCTGGGTAAGCTGATGTTGGGAGAGCCATCCAGGTCCCCTGCTGCTCTCACTTCTGTTTCTCACCGTGCTGCAGCTTCCAGGTGCTCCGCACATAATCCCTTTGCTACCGCCTTTGTGACATCTCCACTGTGCCTTAGGATAGTCATGCTAATTACTGTTCTGGCAGGAAGCCAGTATTTTCTTGAGGCACACAAAAGAGAGAATGGAAATGGCAATTTTAGTGCATAATATCTCAGGAAAAGCTGCACAGAATTTCATGAGGGAAAGGGTACTTTTGAAGCCCAAAGGCATTCCCTTGTCAAATCATAAAAACGTTCTGAAAAGAATTGTGCTATTAGAGCTTCTCTTACAAAAATTTTTGCAACTCCCTTACTGCAGAAAACTAGACAACCCAAAGCATTTCAAGGTCTGTTTAATAAAAACTTTAATTTTTTTTACTTCCAGAAACCTGACTGCACTTTACCGTCTCACATTGGCCAGGTTGCCCACTTACCATCCCTAACTGAACTCCCACGCTAAACCTGCTTAACCTAGAGCCGCAGGAGGCATGTCTGCATTGTACAGCAAGCTGTGATGCAAATATCCTTCTTTTCTTATCTGATATAATGCTAATATGAGCTATTACATTCACAATATACAGCATACAGATACTCTCTTAGGGCTCTAAGGGGAGAAATACAAATACAGAAACCGTATCACCATGTTAATTCTGTACCACAGCCAAGCTTATTTCCCCAGCCCCAGTTAGTTCAGGAGCAGTGCTGGGCGAACATGCATGTCCTGTGCCAAGATCTGGAGCTAACATGAGATGGGCAGTGCTCTGTCTCTGTCTCTGTACAATGCATTCGCTCTGTAGCATAGATGTGTTTTTTCTCTGCTGCTATGAGAAAGCTTGGTTTTGAGCATACAGACCTGAGAGCACAGCAGGTAGGAGGCGGCCTGCGGCAATATATTTGGCAGATGCGTCCCCCAGAGGGTACATAGTGACAGAGGGGAGATGCAGGTCTCAGTTGCTTGTGAAGCTGAACTTTCTACTGTGAGTCACTGTGCTGCAGTGATAGATGAAGTCAGTTGTGGCAAAGCTGTGCACAGAAGCCCGTGCCATGAATTGCATATCCCTGCTGTGCAAGCTCATATATCGGAAGGTTGTTTCTTGATCCATCCAGTGTGAGTAATAAAATAACTGCAGTGTGCTCAGATTGCCAAATTATTATACCAACTTGGATAGGGTAACAGATTGAACAGGCTATATGTAACTTAACTATAGAAAGAAGGGCATGATTTTAACGAAAAGTCTGTTTACAGTCAAAGATGTCTGTTCTGTAGGGAGTTATTGTCATACGATGTAGTGTATATTTTGATTTCAAGATCTTAGAAAAACAGATTAACTATACTTATCTTGTATTTTGGTTTTGTATGGATTTGACATTTGCTTGTAAGCATGGTATATTAAATTATCTAGAAAGAAGAAAGGCTTGTTGTGCTTGTTAAAATAGATGGCATAGCCAGTAGAAAGAAAATGGGGACTGGTAATAACTATTAGAAGCTAGACATTTTAGAAGATTGTTGATCATTTAAAACAACCTAGACAAAGCTGATCATCAGGTGAGTCAAAGGCAATAAGTGCAAGCTTTCAGAGTGCAGCAGGATCAGCAAGGTATTCACACTGGTGATTTAATACTAAATATAATCAGTATAACTTCAGGTTCTAATAAAGAAAAGACAGGAGTATTAAATACCTGCTTTTGTGTAGGAATTACCCCATGATTTATAAATTTCTTATATAATAAGGCTATCTTGAGCTTAGCACATTTAGATTCTTTGCACTGAACATTTTCAGAAAAAAGCTGACAAAATAATTCCAGTCATTGGTGGTGTCTTAGATTGTGAAAAAATCTTGATAATTTCAGATTATAATAGAAAAAAGACTGATTTGCTCTTTGAAGTTGTGGTTTTCCCTGTTGCAAATGTGAACAAAAACTGGTATGTGTGGCATGATGGGTACAGCTTCGTAAGAATCTAATTAAGACAGCCCAGGATTTAGTTTCAAGTTAATAGTTTTTTCTCCACCAGACACTTAATTGATTGATACCACAGCAAACTTTTCAACCTAGCTAATATTTTGTTTCAAACAGGTTCATGGAATTTGACCCAGGTTTAACCCTACGCAAATACAAGGAATGAAGATTCCAGATTTGTGGAAAAATGTTTGCAGCCATTTAAAATGCTAAATATGAAATACTGCATACTGCTTACACATCTGGCTTGTATGGAAGCCAGATTTGTAAAAGTACAAATGACAATAGAGCCCATCTATTCTTAGATATGCTGTACTTAAAATATCTTTTTTTTATAAGTTCTACCTAAAAATTAAAAGCTTGTTGTTTTCTTTAATAACATTTTACATTTATAATCAATCTTAGTAAATAAAAAAAAATTAAATACTAAAACTATTTGGTTTTGTAAATAATGATTTGTAAAGTAGTAGCCATCACTTTAGTAATTGCATTGATTGGGACTATTTAGAATTAATTATTTTTTCCCATTTTTTCTTTAACTGTTAATTTCCCCTTTCAGATTCACAAAATTTATCCCCTGCAGTTAAATGTGTGTATGCTGGGCCCTCCATCTCTTTGCGGCAGTGATGAGCTCTTTATAAGTCAGATAACCCTTGCTGTATGTGCAGGAGAGATACAGGTGGGAAAGCACTGAAAAGTGGCACACTACCTGCCAAATATGTAAAAAGAGAGAGGCTGTGTATTGGAGCTACTTTGGCATTCATGAATGCAGGGTTTGTTGTCAGCACCTACTGTACGAGTGTGTGGGATTAATAAGACACTCTGCTTTTTTTTGTGCCACTCTCTTGGCATTTTAACATGTGAGCTCAAAACTGTAACTATACCCTACACTATTTGTATGTGTATGCAAACATTTAACAGGTATCTAATACACATTATTATGCGTGCGTGCATATGTATTCTTAGAGGGCTCTGTTGTTGGGGTTCTTGGTTTTGTAAATGTTCTCATATTTATTGTCTAATGTTGGCTTGAAAAATGCCTTTTAATTATCCATGAAACTCCGTTCATCTTTGGCTCACAACTAAAATGTTAGAAATCTCCCTCTCCTCCCCCCATCCCTTGCATTCTTCAGGAAAATTTTGGCAGCCTTTGAAATAATAAATAGCTACATAGTGATTTTAAGTATGGGTTTGTGGCATTGCCTCAATGCTAAATACTTACCGGAGAAATGAAAAGGCAGGGGAAAGTCTTGCCTGTTCCCCATCACTCTCTGTCCCAGCAGTAAACCAGTCTGAGCTGAAGAGTTTAATTTCACCTATGCAGCATGTGGATCTCAAGGCCTGTGATACCCTCAGAAGAGTGTATTTCTTTGTGCCAGCTAATGCTTATTTTCACTAGCATGAGTAGCAGCAATCTGTGTTACAGGGATGAGGGCTGAGAGTGCCGTTCCTCCTGTTGGCTCAGTTTGGGGGAAGGAAAGGAAATGTTTAGTGGTATGAGTGACCAGGTTTGTTCCCTCTCCTCTCTTCAGATTCCCTCTGCATCTGAACTTGCAGTTTTCCCTCTGAATTTTGCCCCCCTCCCCCAAGCTTCAAAATTGCCTTCAGAAGACCATACAGAGAATATCATCTGACTTGCCAGTTGATTACAGCCTGGTGAGAATTAAGAAGTCTAATGCAACTCTGTTTTGATTATATTGTCTACATGTGTCCATACTGTCTTTAATTACTTGTCCAAATCCTGGTTTGTGTCATGGCAGCCAGTGAATCATATGGATACAAGAGGCAGTGGAGTTCAGGTTGCAGAGATAACCAGAAATCTGCAACTGTTCTGTGCTCGACTAGCAAACTTGAATGATGATCCATCAATATCCATTATTTTTTTTACAAATAATCTATCTACCTGTGCGTGTAAAGCTAAACTGCAAAGAGGATGGTAAGGCAATATATCTTGAAGCCGATTTCAGTTCAGGAGAACTACATGAAGGAGTTATTCTGTGATAGATTTTGATCTGATTTTGAAAGAGGATAGTTTTGGTCTCTTGCAGTGTTAACACAAAGCTGTTGATGATCAGTTAGCTTGACAGTATGTTCATACTGTGATGCCACTTTTGAGAAGAGGTCAGACCACATTCTGACCACATTGCATAGCCAGAACGTGCACTGAAGGGTCATTTTGCCATTTTTCTGCCTGTTGACTGTAAAATCTGTTAATCAGCTTATTGTGCTAGCTCAGATTATTGCTGATTTGGAGTTCTAATAGGATGTTTGAACAAGCGTGACAAATTTTTCTTTCCTTCCTACTTTCTGTTGAGGTGAAGAGAGTTTATTTGAATAGCTATTGGTTGTATTTGATACAAGCATGTACTGATTTTTTTTTTTTCCTTAAAAATTTAGGAAATTTTCTTAACAAACATTCCAGGATTTGAAATAGCAATGGCTAAGAACAAGGCATACAGCTGTTTTTATTGCAGGTGGATCAGCACATAATGGAGTAGTTTGTTTTCGTTGATAGTTGTTTATAACCATTTATGAAATCAGTCGCTTGAGATTTTCCGCTCAAATGGTTTGTAGTTTTTTTCCCTCCCTTTTTTATGCTAGTCCTTCTAGTAGTGAAATTTTTTAGTCCAGAGAAATTCTCTGGATAGAAGGGGGAGATTTTTTGATTAATTGTTTTGTTCTTATTCTCTATAGGGTTAGTTCAGGGGTGCAGGTAAGGAGTTTCTTTGTTCATTGGTCTATGTAGTTCCTCAGTTAAAAAAGGTGTGGGTACTAAGGGAGTAAATTCAATCTACCTTAATTTACTCTTTCTAGCATCTGTGTTCTGCTGCCTTTTTATTTCCAGTGTTGGAAGAAGGGGTATCTATTTCAGCTGGTCCGAAAAGTTTGTGTATGAGGGAGGTTTGTGAATGACTGAAGAAAAGGCAGATGAGAGTGGTCTTGGCAGCTGCCTCTGCACTTTCTTCCAAAACTGAATCATAGAAATGTCAAGCTAAGAAAGAAATAAGTAGCTGGAGGGATTAGAAGAGCAGGATGCTGGTGACCTATGTAGCCATAATGCGAAGTACACAGCTGGTGTGTGGTCAGCAGTAACACCAGGATAACTTTTATTAGAAGTTTGGCAAAGGTGGGACAGAGTAATCAGTGAGAAATTATATTGCACATTGTCTGTTGATCAAATGATATGGAAACCTGTGTAACAGTTTATCCCTTTGCGGTGTACTAAGTGTACCTCGATCATCTCTATGACACATTTGTCCAACTAGTACTGTAAACTGTCCAGTGGAACAGTCTGTGGTCTCCCTACCTTGGTGCCAATTTCCAGTCATCCTCTCCCTCTCCTACTAGAAACTGTTTCTGAAAATTGAAAGTAAATTTTCTTTGCTTCTAGTTAAGCTCATTTCTTCATACTTGGTGGACATGAATAAAAATTGATTGCTATGTTCTTGCAATTTCTCAGGTGTTTGAAGAGTGCTGTTAGGCCTGTTCTCCACTACAGTCTTTTGTTTTTCAGAAAACAAGTGAAACCCCTTAATTCTTTCCTTGTAGGTCCTGTCTTACATGCTTTGTTGTTGCTCCTGTTGAGAGTTTTCCTGCTTAGGTTAATCTCCTAGGAAGAAAATAACAAGGTTGCACATCCATATACTGGCTATAGCACATCAGGCAGACACCAACGGGTACTCAGTATGATGCTTCTGTAGAACCAGCTTGTCATGAGCCTGAGATGTGGTGGCTCTGACCGAACAGATTTCCTTTTAGGAAGACCCCTTCCCCCAGAGAAGGTACGCAGCATTAGACTTGTACAGACAGTGTTTCTTTGATCAGAACCTGGCATAAGTTTGTCATTAGCAGGCTGAAGTATATCAGTCTGCTAATAAATATCCATGTATGAATAAATATAGAATTGCAATTTTCTGTGTTAATTTTCCCTGTTAAGTGACTAATTTCCATAATTCTGTCTCACAGTACTGGCTGGATCCTGCAAAGACTCTTGCTGAACATAAAGAATTGATAAACAGTATGTATTTAATTTGAACTTTAAGAACGTAGCTGAAGATGAAGTAACAGAGGCAATGTTCCATATATACATTCTGTACAACATTTCTATTCAAGTCAGTTTGAGAGTTCTTGAACAAGTTTATTACTGCAGTTCATAGCTGTATCAAAATTTCACACATAGATTGAGCGTACCATCATTTTCCAATAGTTTGTGTGTTAGTTGTCCAAAGATTTCTCTGTGCTTAAATTTTACTCTAGAATGATAAATGGTGCTATTCTTAGCTTGTATAATTAATTTTATAGTAGCTGTGGTACCTCTATCATACTGCATCATATTGTAACCAACTTAGATTCCTTTTTGATTCTAAGTAGGTCCTCTTACTGATGATAGTGTCTGCTGTTACTGTCACTCTTCAGATATCACAGATGCAAAATCTGTTACTTTTATTGTAATTAAAGAATATGGTAAGATTATTTTACTTAAGGATTTGGAGACCTTCTGTAAAAAGATGTAGAAGTGGAGCATGCATGGAATTAATGTAGCTGAAAGAATTTCTGTACTGAGCTATCTGAATCTTTCAGGAGAATAACATTTTTAAAAGGTGAATTAGAAAAGCTGTTATTTATTTATTTATTAAAGTGGCACATAACTGAAGTTGCCTCATAAGATATTTGAATGTGTAGAAGAGGTTATTATTCAGTATTATTAGTTATGACAGGAAAACACATTTCATGCACAATTATATTTTTTGAAAAGTTTCAGTGAATAAAGTATCTAAAGATCAAAGTCAAGCAGTAAACCAAAAAAAGTATGTTGAAGAAATAGTAAGTTAGCAATGAAATCTAAAGTAGAATCGTCAAAATAAGCAAAAACTCCAAGAGGACAGACAGGCTGTGAATAAATAAACACAAGAGTAGGAAAATAATAATAAAAATCCTTTTCTTTTTTTTTTTTCCTCATGTGTAATGAGTGTAGATGTGGGGATTTGTTCAAACTTTCAAGTTTCATAAAATATTAAAATAGGTTTCTTAGTAGCTGTTTTATAGTCAAGTAGTAACATTCACAACAATTAACAGTTCATAACAACTAACTTTTACATCAAATATTTTTTTTCCCTCAGCTGGACCACCATACACTCTGTATTTTGGCATTAAATTCTATGCAGAAGATCCATGTAAACTTAAAGAAGAAATAACAAGGTATGGTATTCAATAAGAGTGTAGTTTGTTGATTTAAGGGTAGCAATCTGTTCCAGCCAGGTGCATATTGTTGGTATGGCTGGGTTGGTTTTTTTTTTCTTGAATATCTGAACTTTTTCACTTGAACATGTATGTGTAGGAAGAGAATTGTGACGGGCTTCGCAGTGGTTGATATGGACAACTATTTGGAAGCCCAAGATTAAAAAGTGCTCTCTGGTGCATCAAAAAACAAAGGGACTTGATGTGCATTTGTGGTTGTGTTTTTTTTTTAAGGAATGCATTGTCACATCTGCATTTATATTGTGCTATAATCAAGTTTAGAGTTTATGTGGATATCAAATATAAATACAGGGAATTATCTTGTTTATTGGCCATAGCTTAAATTCCAGAACTATTTTTCGAGAGGATTTCTTTTGGTCTTTCTAAAAATATACAAAGGAAATTGAAGAGTTGCATGCTTTTGATTCTTTTAGCTAAGCTTGTCCTCTATAAAATATAAGGATGCACACACTTAACACATGCACGTCCCTGCGCACAGGCACATACACACACATACATGCCTGAACTCTCACACCCAGGGTTTTGTGTTTGCTTTATTTATGAAATGTCTCAGACAATTAGTTTTAGGTTCAAAAGGAAATTTGAGAATTTGGGTAGGTAGGTGGACAAAATTACTATGCTGGCTTGGATTAATAAATGCCAAAATATTTCTTTTGATGTCCTAGGAATATGACACATGAGAATTCGCTAGCATGCATGCAGGTTTTTAATTTTACTTAATCAAAGGTGGCAGTTGTTGCAGCACAGGCAAAATATTTTTATTGTACCACAGTGAGAAAATTCTTTTGTTTCCATGCTGGCACAGCAGTCTCCAATATAACAAAACTGAGGCTGGCCCAGTGGAAATAATGGACACTGTCTTTGCAGGTAAAAGAGTGTAAACTGGCTGCAATGTGATGGCCCTGTACTGTGAAAATTTGATGCAGTTTTCCTGTACTTTTCCAGAAGCACTGCCAGCCTGGCTCACAAGGGAAGACACATAGCCCTGGGAAGGGAGCTTCGGCCACCAAACCCGTTCTAATTGCTACCAGCAAGGCAGGGTGGATTTCTGTCTGGGAAATGACAGGGGCTAAATTTTCAGAAATTGTTTCTCTTTGCCTTGTGATAAGGTCAGTCAGTGATTCGTGCTGCTGTAGGTGTGTGAATCTACTCAAGAAGCATTTTAGTATCATTAGTAAGCCTCTGTTCATGTCTGCGCAGCATTTGGTCATGCAGTTTACACCTTAGAAGGCACAGAGGGACAGCATAAGAAAGAGATATGTTTGTATCTACAATCTTCAACAAAACACATTGAATATTCAAATGCCCTCAACATTTCCGAGCATTTATTCCTGTAGGCCCTTAAACCTTGAAAGGAAAGTATACCTTTTAATAATAATAATACTACTAATAGTACAACCTCCTTGTGCTTAGGAAGGATTGAAGGCCCCATTTTTCTTTATAATAATTTGCTGCCAAAGTGTGTAATTCCAGTGATGTGTTAACTCTTTTGTGCTAACTGATGTGTTTCTTTGGAGTATGTGTTTGTTATTTTAATGGACATGAAAGCGAAGTCTGTTATTAGCTGTTGATGATCTGTGGCATAACATGATTACCATTTGCAAATAATGAAAACCTGTCAAATTTGTAATTGCTTTACAGCAAAATCTGTCTGGCTTATAAGCAGAAGCTAACACTGTGGTGATTCACATTAACATTTGCTGGATGTGCTTGCTGGAGTAAACTAGTGCTTAGGCACTATTATATATGCATGACAGACTTGACAGTGTACAAGATGAGAGTGCTTTAGCTGCGAGTTTGGACAAAAGGCCCATTTTTGTGATGAGCTTCATGGCTTCAGTGGGAACTGAATTTCACTTTATAGGAGTCACGTAAGCACTTAACAGTTGGCTTTGACTATTTTTTTTCAGGGAGGTGGTGTTTTTTGCAGTTTCCTATCCTACTTTGTTTTGAGAGTACACTATGAATGTAAAAATATAGATACCTGCTACATAGAAAAGACATTTGTAGCATCATCTGGTGTGAAGCTCCACACTGTAGAGGTGGAGGAGCTCTAACAGAAAGATGGGTGCATATCAGAAATGCATTTCATGTTAAAAAGAAGATGCTATATGGTCCACAGTAGTAAAATCATCTTTGTCATTATCATCATTCATACGGAAAAGATTAGTGTGGGTAGGACTGGCAAGTGTGAGCTAGAAGCAGTACTGAGGTATTGCTCAGAGTGAAGAAACACTGAGTGTATGTGCTTAGTGTTGCCTAATGCCATTCCCACAGCATTCTTATACAATGCCCTGGACCTTTAAGGCAGAGGGTATTAGCCATTTTTTAAAGGATGGACATTCCTACTATAATATCTGTCACAGCATAAATTCTGGGGGATCATTATCTAGAAAGACACTGTCTTTATTCAGAGGCTCCTCTGGGCTGATAATGTCTAGTAAATTTGGTTGGCTCTTAAATGATTTGTGGATCAGTTATCATGTAACCTGCAGCTTGTAAACTTCCCTGAGATCAGTGTAGATGCACTTCGAATTTACACATCGTTCCAAGATGCTTTCATAAGTAACTTTTATTAACACAGAATAAATTATTTGCAGTGTGGCTGAATGGCTCTGCGTAGAAAAAGCTGAATTTGTGAATAATGAAAAAGTTATGTGCTTGTATGGATGACCATTGTTTTTCTTTAAAAAGTTACCTTCTCAGTATTGTTACCTTTTATAAGAACTTGGTTCAAGAAATTTGCTTAGGATGATGTGAAACACTGCGCAAATCTGTTGTAATATAACCGGACAAAATCCCAACATTGTTTTAAAGATATCTTATAAATTAGTATGGGGAGTTGCAAAATCAAGCAGATCCTTTTTGTGATGGCTTGTTTTCTTGTCTACTTTTCCATCTGTTTCGTGCATATTGTTTCACTGTAAGTGGTCTCAGTACATGCTTCATCGAGTGCGGAAGCAGGTTATGACTTTGAAAATTACGTTTTTACCCCTGCTACCTCTATTCCACAAAGGAGAGTACCCTGTGCTATTACAGTTAGCTGCTGATAGTATGCCTATCCATCTTTTTCATGGGGGTATGGACTCTGTCAAATCTGCTTGCTGCTCTGGAGTTGATAATCTGGTGTGTGGAGAGGAAACCTTTGAGTAAAGAAGTCTCCAACATCCAGTTCTCCCTTACGTTGATCTACTGATAAGGTTATACTTCAGCCCTCTGATAGATTTCTTGTTGAATTTTCCTTATTCCTAGCCCTCTTCTCCACTTTCTGACTGCTCTATGAAAGTCAAGAGAGAAATTACATTTTTAGGTCGAATATGAGTTGTATCTGCACAACATAAGCAGATGAGAAAACTACAGAGTGCTCCCCTACCAAAGTTCTTTCACTAGATTAATCTTAGTTGTTACTTCAAGGTCAATAGGGGAAAAGTCATTCAGAGAGGAATACAGTTTTTGCCTGTCACATAGTTATGGTATATTGTGTGTCTTTAGTAAACTGGAAGATGATGAAACATTACTTGGTGTATCAGACTCAATATTGAAATAAAAAAATTGTTTTCTCTCTGTGTTTTAGGTATCAGTTTTTCTTGCAGGTCAAGCAAGATGTTTTACAGGGCCGTTTGCCTTGTCCAGTCAACACTGCAGCACAGCTGGGAGCATATATAATTCAGTGTAAGTTCTTCTGGCCAACTGAGAGCGTATTTCTTTTAATTCTGCCTTATGATTAATTTTAAGTGGTGACCGAAGACTTGACTAACACTTTATGCATTCATTTCAAAACAGAACAAAACTAGTATGACTGATTTCAGCTAAAGAACTGTAAATAGATGACCATACCAGATAATGTAAAAGCAATATAGAAGTTAATGTAAAGAAGAAACTGAAAAGCCAGTCGGAAGAGTCTGCCAAACAATCTTTGCCTTGCTGAGGCGTATCTTATCATGTACTTAAGACTTTATGACTTACTGTGGATTGCATATAGAGTATGACAAAACCTTCTTCAGGAGATTTACAGATTTGATGGGCTATTGTCAGCCTCCAGCCAACAAAGTCTGTCAAATAAAAGATTCTTTCAAAAAATACATTGTGTCAATATGAATACACCTGTGCTTGAAGGGAAGATGTGTTTTAACCTGAAGTGAAGAATTTTAATTCTGTCATTTATCTGCGTTCACCCATCAGTAGTTAGCTTTTCACAAGTGGATGTTATATCCTCCATAATTGATAGCACTAGCAATCAATTAGAAAGGAGCTGTCTGTCTACCATTTATTTATTCCTTTCACATTACAGCTCAAGCTCTATATTCAAACACAATTGGTAACCATAAATCGGGTGATGAGCCATGCTGGGACCTGCATCTATAATTTGTTTTATGTTAAATTTAGATTTCTCATAAGTGATATGTATTAAGTACAAAGATTATTTCTATTATTGTTGTTCCAAGTATGACTCAACAACACTTAATACAACATGAAAAATAGTTCTCCTTTCATTTCCATTTTAGAATAACAAGACAGAATAACTTGTGTATGAAATAGGAGCGGGCATTATGCAGAAATTCACGGTGTGTTATACATGTTCATGAAAAGCTAAAATTTCAGGCAGGGTTTATTTTTGTACAACTATTTTTAGCTTAATTTTTCCATCTAAGAAATGTGACATGTCATAATCTGGAAGACTTCGCAATGTACATTTCACTTTACTGGCATATGTGACTTCCCTGAAAATATACTGCAAGTATGAAGCAGGAAAATATGTAATAGTGGTGACATCTTAATGATATTATGAGAAATGAGTAAAGAGAATAAATTCTTGTCCTTTAGTCATTTTGTAAGGTGATTAGAGTATGGGGAACTGTTTCGGTATAAAACTCTGTTCCTGTGATTCTAATCTCAGATATTCTATTGGAAAACAAAGAGGAAGCTCACGTGAGAGAGGAGAGTTAAAGCATGACGTACAGTGGATTAAAGTTAGTCATGGCACCAGCAAGCATGCATTCCCATTGACTCTGTAAAAAGCTTTGTCCCTTTATTTAGGGCCTGTAGTTGTTCAAAGTATATAAAGACACCTCAGAAATGTCTGTGTCAGACACTGAAAATTTGAATCCAAAGCATCAGCACTGAGGTCAACAGACTTTCGGGTGCCAGACTACTTTTTTCTTTTCCAAACTGAGATGAAGTGTGTTTGTGGGTATTCAGTAGTAGCTGAGAACCTGTGCCTCTTTAATGACATCAGTGGTGTCTTTCCCTGTGGAGTTAGCAGCTGCTGAGATCTGAAGGAGGAGTCAGGGCCACATGTTCTTCTAGAGTCCTCTATCCATATTCTGCTTCACGGGCCCTGCTTTCACCATTCCGATTGTTGCCTGGGTGTCATCTTTGGTCTCCAGGGAGATCCTGTCCGTAACACATGAATCATTTTCCTCCTTTTGTAGTCAAAGATGGCAGACTATTATAGTGGCGATGGTGGAAAAACCAGTACCCATGGCACAATTTGCAGAACATACAGATTTTAACTATTGGGAATGCTGGAGTTGTTGCTGTTGTAGTCATTCCTGTTCTTGTTCTTGCTAGGGGCAAGAACCGTATCATTTTTATGGAAGCTTTCTAGAGAAATTTCTCAACATCTCCACTGAGCAGATCGCTGTCTTCTTGTAGAAACATCATTAAGTTCTGGAAAAAACAGGAGTTGCTAGATGAGTCTTTCTCTTCTTGGCTCTTGAAGCCTCCTTTTGCCTATGTTTTTGGCTTAGTGGGCATTGGATAGAAACCTTCTGTGAAGCTTTTCTCAGAGAAGCCCAGTCTGTGCAGATTTTACTTAGGGTTATTAAAAAATTGAAATACTAATTTTTGCGGAGTTTCTTGGATAGATACAATTATAGTTCAGATCAGTAGAAGTGAGTTCTGACCAAGGTCCATATTTATTTTATAATTACATTGCAACATGTAAACTGATATGACTAATGTATTCAAATTCAGGGTTCTTTCAAAGCAAATTGTATTGGCTATTCATTATGTTCTTTTCTTTACAAAAAAATTTCAAAAGTTATTTTGATTTTGAAAATTAATTCAGTGTTCAGGAAATAGATTGAGATTTTATTAAAAAATGAAGTCTTGTTTTTCCTCACAAGAAACTATGCTTGTCTAGAAGGGCATACCTCTAGGAGTCTCAGGATATTTGTCTCCATTCTCATTCCCACACTGACATTTGTATTAGGAGTCCCAGCAAGAGTATGGATCAGTTCTGATCAGTTCTGTCTGTAATATTACAGCTTATTGTGAGGGCATAGATATTGGAAAAACTAGACTTTTCTTCTACACTTGTTTACTATGCTGCCAAATAATATATGTCATCAAATTTCAACTTCACTGGCTTGGACAAAATTATATCTAGTCCTATAGAAGAGGTAGATCTCTCACTCTTGAAACCTTCTATTTCTCTTTTAAAAAGACTGAAGGCATTTTTTCTTGTTTTTTTTGTGTGCTAATACACACAGTTCTGTACTGTCTTTTGGTTTTTTAACTGACTGCATGGTAAATTGACAGTCAGTTGGAAAGAGGTGGCTTGGCACCAATGGGTGGAATATATTACATATTTTTTGATTTACATAAAGTGTTGAAAATACGTGACCTTTCTTTTCTTCTTGTGTCCTGTAGCTGAGCTGGGAGACTATGACCCCTATAAGCACACTGCAGGTTATGTCTCGGAGTACCGCTTTGTTCCAGACCAGAAGGAAGAGCTGGAGGATGCCATAGAGCGGATACACAAAACTCTGATGTAAGAATTTAGTAATATTGGAACTTGGCGGATAACATCAGATTTGGAGATGCTTGGTAGGTGGGGAAGGGAGCAGCTTGTGGTGCAGAGTGGTGGTCTCTAGACTTGAGGAAAGAACACAGGGCATCCAGTTATATCCCTTAGAAATAGAAAACATTTTACATAATTGGAGTTGTTCTTTTAGGAACTGAGTAGACAACAACTGGAAATATGATGTCTGTCAGACCTAGGTGTGGGTGTTTCAGAACCAGCAGTTTTAATAGCTCTCCTGTTTCCTCTTAGTTTTGTGGTTAAAAAGAATGAAATAAAAAATCTGTGAGTTTAGTTCCCTGTTCCAGGACAGATTTCCAGCATAATTTTGGACAAATTGCTTATTATGCCCATGCCTCAGTCTACTGCCTATAAAATGGGGATAATAACATTTCTTTTCTTTGTACTGCCCTTGTATTCAAATGAACTGTTAGGACAAATGCATTTTTAATCTAATAATGTACAGCACCCTGTACAATGAAGCCTCTATTTTCTTGCCAGATCCTTAACTGGGGTGATGAAGCAAGTGCTTGTAGCAACCTGCATGAATCTTTGTGGGAGCAGCTCACATTGCAGGAGGTATCAGAAAAGCTATTTGTATGCCCGTGGTTTAAGTTGATCATCTCAGTTACAACATCTGCGTGAAGTAAAGAGACAATTTGGTTTTACAAGGATAAACTTTCATTTTAGTAACCAACATATCTTACATAAGACATATTGGCAGTGGTCAATATAAAGGATTCCACTGTAAAGAAGAAGATGTGATTTCTAAGAAAAAAGGCAGCACCTAGAAGCGTAGTCACGAGGCAGCACTGAATAACACAGGGCGTTCAAAGTACTGGTTTCTAGACACAAAACAAATTCCAAAACTTTCATGTGATCTTAAAGCAGTGGAAATGCAGGGTATCTGGTGGGCCTTGAAATAATTTTGGTTTAAGCTGAACAAGGCATTACAGAAATTCACAGGCATTGAAACTGTACCTGATAACGTTTCTCATGTATGAGAAGGAGCTGAGAAGGTGGGAATAAGCTAGAGTTATGGTAATTGGCAGGGGCAACTGTTGAAGAGATTGCAGGAGGAGAATGTTAGGCACACTGCAAATAGGACAAAGAATTGCAGAGATCTGAAACACGTATGTCAACAAACATGCCATCCCAACTTAACCTTTATAAAAGTTGTAAAAGAGAGATTCATTTTTATAATAGAGACATTTCATAATGCAATTCTCCATCTTCCAGTTAGTGAAATAATAATGACCTTGGACGTAAAACATGTGAGTTGTACTATCATTGACACTCCAGATAATCTCTGCCTAATGGTGTTTTTCAAGATGATGCTTTGGGAGTCAATTGATTTTCTGTCAAACTGCAATTTGTGCAGACAATACTTTCCCTTGATTACTTGTCAATGGAGTGGAAAGCAAAACTGCAATAAGGACAACCAGGAGATGGACTGGAGTACCCAAGAGATAAGTAAAGCAACATAAGCACTAGTAACCTCTGACCCCATTGGTTCTGTCAGTGCTTTAGAGAGGAACAACAGCAGCAATAGAAAGAGAAAAAACATAGCAATCTTGTAGGGAAGTTAGAGCAAAGGACATAATTTCCAGTAAAGAAAACAGAGCCAGAAAGTGATCCTGTGTGAATATAGTTTAAATACTAGATCCTTTTGCAGCAGCTGTGTAAGTGCTCTTCTTGTAGAGAAGGTTTAACTCTACACTGTCTCTAGGCTTACAAAAAACACAAAAAAATTCCCCAGCAATTCAGAGCTGCTTTTTGTCCCACTTACTCATTTTTAGAAATGGTCTTCTATGCATGACACACATACTTTCAGTGAGATTCATTTTAGACTGAAGTACTCTGATGTATGAGTAACAGAGGCCAAACCACCAGTCACTGTGTGAAAGCACTGCAAGTCAGAGAGATTTGGCTTCCCAACCTGCTTCTCCAAATACTAGACCACAGTGCCTTCAAAAATGAAAAACGTGAAGTTGGTTTTGAAAATAAAACATTTGCGAGAAGTTTAACCATACATAAAGCCAAAATAAACATTTGCTTGCTTATCTCCAAGTTCACGTTCCTGATAAGTGTAAAGAAGCTTGTTCTAACAAATCAAAGTTCGGTGCAATTGTGATATAAACATTTATTAAGTTGAGAGCAATAAGTAACATGTTATGAGTATGTTCATCATACCCTTTGTCAAAGTAACATAGAGATAATCAGAGATAGCCATCTTGTATGTAGATCTAGATTTCTTGATTCTCTTGCTATAATGAAGCCACAGTCTGGATAAAGCTTAAGTAGTTTCTTGCCTGTAGTTTTGCATGTAGTGTTATTTGTGCCTTGTTTAATGAGAATAGGTATTAACTAAAAAACGCAGCGCCCATTGCCACATTGACCTGAGCTTCCTCTTTCACGGAAGAGAGTCTGTTGTTCAATAATTATTTTTATGTGGTTGCCTTACTGCCTTATAGCAGTTCATGTGTTGTGGAGAACCTTACTGCAGGTCCTTTTGTGAAGTAAAAAAGTACTGTTTTGGAAACTGAGTCACAGAGAGTTTGTTTTCTTCAACATCATAGAGGCTGTGTTTGAGAAATGAAGCTTGAGATGAATTGCTATGTACCAGGCCACTGATACTAAGAAACTTTCACTCCTCTCTTTCAAGTTCCTGTAGGCATTAGTGTAGTAAATCAGATTAAGACCCATTTGCCTCAAAAAGTTTATAAACTCGTATATGAAATATATAACCTTGAAGATGAAATTCAGAAGCTGGGGCAACAGTGGTTGCAAAGAGGAGTGATAACTGTCTTAACACTGTCTTTAGTGCTTATTGACCTAGAGCTGTGATAGTCTTTTGCTGTTTGGCTGCAGTTAGGCGTCAGGGATTTAGAGGCACCAGAGAAGAGAGTGAAACTAAGGTGTACACATTGCTAGTTCAGCCTGACTCTCATCACCAGCACTGCCAGCATTGACTTCTGCACAGGTGACAGCAGTCTCTTTAGTTAAGACCTTTGAAGCTAGAATGTCTGAGGGCATATCCCAAAGTATCTCACCTACCACAGGCATTTTAGGGACAGGGTTGTGATATGATCTGGAAGAAATTCTTTATCCTTTCTGGAGCCCAGCATGGAAATGTGTGGGTTTTTTTCAAGACGGATGTGGCACTGCATGTACCTTGCTTCTGCTAGTTATGTCCAGATAAACTGGCTTTGGTTGAAGGTTATGTCCCAGATTTTACGTGGCACACTAGCTATTCAGGGATTCATTCAGGATACAGGTTTTTTTGAGCAAGTTTCTAAATCAAGTGACTTGAGGGAAATCAGAGATGGGGGGGAGTTTCTGACTTCATCCAGTCTCTGCAGCCTGCCTACTGTGATTGTTGTCCCATCTATAAACCAGCATGACAATCCCAAGGTCAGATAGCACGGTGAGGTGAACTTATGTTGTCGTGCATATCTGAAGGAGCAAGCAAAAGCTTCAGGCCCTGCACTCACGGTGCTGTAGGAGGGATATGATCCCTCAGTACAAATGGGAGAGCTTGTATTGGCCCTCTGACATTGCTTGGTCCAGACTGCAGCAGATCTGGGACTGATACTTGATAAGTCAGCCGTTTGTGTATTTTGAATGAATATTATATGCTGTCAGTGGGGCTTAAGGAAAGCTAAAATGCTTCTGATAGTTAGCTTTGAGAGTAGCTTCCAATACTGTTCAGGGCCATCTGTGGCACTTCAGTGCTCTTTATGCATCTAAATGAGCAGTGCATGTCAGCTGCGTGGCTGTTATATTGCCTGCTCTGTCATTACAAACTGCAAAGATTGTCTTGGTTTCGGGGTATATTGTCAGGTTGCATGAGGCTGAGGAGAATTTGTGTTCTCACACATGGTTAAAAGGAAACACTTACCTTTGTAATGGTGGAAATTGTTTCTGTCCTTGATGTTCTCCTCTCCCCTTCATGTTCTGTCTTCTCCATCTGCGTTTGGGAGGACTTCTTCCTCCAGCTTCCATTTGCTTCCTTCAGAAGCTCCAGTTCACGTCTTTACTTCCTTTAATATTTTTTGCAAATACACTTTCTTAAAATTATGTATTATTGTGAAAATATTTATACACACGCACACACTTACTTGGCATTTGAGCCTTTTGGTACTTTCAGAGACAGGTGAGAATAGTGGGATAAGCACATCAACATTTTTCTAAGTAGGTTCAGTAAGGAAACATTAACAGTTTATATAGTGGTATTTAAATTGGTGTTGGATTCTAGCACTAATTCAGTAATGGGGTGATCCACTTTGCTCAGGATTGTTGTTTAGCCAACTGGGGAGGTGAATGCCAGTGAACATTTTGCTTACGTTTCTGAGAGCCGCCAACAAGATTTTAAAATAATCAAGCTGTTGAGTAAATATTTATAGCAGAAGTGGATAAAAGACATGTCAGATGTGACAACGATGACGTGCTGAATATCCCTAGTGTTCTGCATATTCTGAATACAGAGATGAATCACAGATCTACTGAGAAATCCAGCTTTTGAAAAAAGGGATTTCTCTTACAAGCTTCAGGTCTGCTGCTTTTCCAGGAGTCCTTGGAAAGAAGGGCTAACACCTGAAACAGTATCAGTGCTGCTAGGTGGATAAGGTGGGCTGAAGCAGCCCATCTCCCAGTTACAAAGGAGGTATTTTAAATACCTATACTATTGCATTCATGCTAGCCCTGCTGTTTCACATCTTTAAGGTGGGATATTTTTTCTTCCTCATCAGGCATGACACAAAGTTGGGAAAACTTGGAAAGTAGCTGCTAAGCTGGAGAGAATGGGGGGACAAGAAGCGAGAATGTGCATATTGCAAGATTTTTCCAGGTCTTGAGTCAAAATGTTGAGCTCTTCTTCATACCTTGAATTTGAAGGGTAGCAAATGCAGTGAAGTATTTCCCCAAAAGAACAATCACAGAGTGAAGCAGGAGATGCATCTTTTTGAGTTGATA